CCCACCCCCACACCCACACCCACACCCACACCCACACCCACACCCACACCCACACCCACACCCACACCCACACCCACACCCACACCCACACCCACACCCACACCCACACCCACACCCACACCCACACCCACACAGACACACACACACACGCACACTCATGCACACACACACACACACATGCACACACCGCACCCTGACCCACACACATAAGAAACACGTGCACTGAACTGAAGTCCTCGTGGTCTACCGACGATGTGGTTTGTGACAACGGCAAAGGTTGCGAATTGCTGGAAGTCGAACCAGTGCTGGTACTGGTAGTTTCTGTGTCCACCACACCACCAGAGCACTCCGGAAAGTAAAACATGGACATGTCACATATGCAGCTGGGGCTTCAAGGCACTTAAAAGCCTAAACCGCTCCAGCCCAAAAGCTCTTGACTTGAAACATGCGAAACAAGTCAGTCACGTTCACCTTGATCGCTCGACAAGATGTTGGAGGCAACAACACCAAGCACCGGACTCTCGGAGGGCACATGCATCCCAAGTTTATCCAGGGGCCTCGGCAATGCAAACTAAGCTCAACTCAAGCAGCTTCTCATGCACAACATAACTTCCCACACCTGCACGCAAAAGTATTCTTAGGCAGGAACAGAAAATGTGGTAAGCCTCCGTGGGGAGTTTCCCGGGACTAGTGCCATCCATGGAAACCTCAATCCCAATCCGCATCCCATGCAGCAACTGGCACGCTGCCACATGTCTCCGCGGAGTCTCAGGGTGCGGCGCAAATGTGATTCTCCGGGCCAAGCTCTCTGCGTGAAGCAGCAAGCAATGCAGCCTCGGATTATGAGCAGACATGTAAGCTTCAAAAGCAGCCCCAATGCACGATTCAAGTCAGGGAACACCCGCACGCTCGCACGCATAAATGGCGCAGTTCTTGATCTTCTCAGACCCAGCCACAACGACTCTCGGCAAGGCTTTTGTGAGGAACATCTCCTCCCGACAAGACAAATGCAGTGACCTCTATAGCAACAATCACGTCAGTGCCCTGCACCGGGGCGTCCTGGCCGGTGTATACGAGCTGCAGGGCCTCCCAATAGAGACGGGGCACGATCTTCTTCCGTTTCTTGTTCTTCTCACGGAGCTCTGCGGGGCCGAACGTCTTGTCAAGATTTTGATCCTTCGGGGAGTGGGAGAGATGGGAAGCAGCGAGACAAAGAGACAGCGAAGATAAAACCTTTTACAACACATGCTGGATGCCACGGTCCAGGAAATCGGCAAGCTGCGTCACAATGCTTTGTGCGCGACGACGCATTTCTGGAACTAGGCTACCGTTCAGCCTGAGGCTGGCACAAGACATTCAGAAAGTTTGCTTTGCTGCTGCTGCTGCTACCTCCCTACCTGCCTTCCTAGCTACTCACCTACGTAGCTCCCTCGGTCCTGCTGCTACGACTACTAACTGCTGCCACCACGACGATGACGACTTAGTTCCGTCTTTCGGAATCCCTGCGAGAATAACGACAAGGACGAGGACCCTGATTATTTGTATTTGGTTTAATGCTGTCGCGACACAATGCAAAGCTCACGGCAGAGGAGATGCTCAATAAAGCACCCCATGGACTCATCCAGTCATTGTCCATGTCTTGTGCCTCCTCTAACCAGCTTCGCCGTGCGGTTGCATGTTCTGAGGCCGGAACTAGAACAGAAAGGTCAAGCTTCCCGTTGGATGGCACAGGCCATCTCGACATCACACCATCCCTAGAAGGAAGCAGCACAGAAAATTCTTCTGTCAAGACTGCAGTCATGAAGAGCGTCTGCAACAACACAACAGCAGCTTTGCGATGCTTCCACTGGTTCTTGTTCGAGATGATCCGGGACACTATGCAGCTGATCATCATTGATGTGTGCATTGTTGACTCAACGAAGAACGACTTCGTGCGCGAGCCGGGTCCAGCTGCTAGTGGGACTAAATCCTCGGGTACTTCATAGCCAGGCCAGAGCAATTCATGCGTTTCCTTCCAGCCGTCAATGCCTCGATTCTTGTACTTGCCTGAGATTACATCACATATGATGTGAGGACACGAAAAAAAGGGGGCAATGCAAGACAAGACAGCCGCAGTCGAGACACGAGCGCCCATATAAGACTGTGATGAATCTGCTGGGGGCAATTCCGCAGCCTCACCCTGCAAAGCCCTGAAGCATCTCCACAAGTTATGGACGGACCATTGGCTCTGAACTTGCTGATCTGTGCTCCGGTAAGCTATCAGTTTCTCTGACGCCGTCACAGACAGAGAGCCTCAGATTAAGGGGCATTGATTGATTTGTCAGTGTTGATGCAACACAAGGCAAGCATTAGCTGCAGCTCAAAAGCGTTTGTTGTCGAAAGGCGGCTCATCTTCCATGTTGCCGCCGAGAACCGGCAAAGATGTCCGTGTGTTTAGATTAGATTTAGGATAGAACCTGAACTTTTCGTAGCAAGCAACGATAAACTGTCAGCATGCCAGAGCGTTCGAAGTTTTAGCAAATGTATCGAACAAGCAACCGTGCATGCGCATGTGGCTGTTGCAACATCTGCCTGTGACTTAGAGAAGTGTCCTGGGCAGGCAGGCGTCAAATGCGCAAGCTGATTCACTGGCAAAGCAACAAATGGGCATGAATAGGCTCCTGAAGTTAATTCACAGGCCCCCCGTTGACAGGGGCCCCGCATCAACCCCCTGATTTTAGGGTTTAGGGTTTGGGGTTTATGGTTTAGGGTTTAGGGTTCAGGGTTTAGGGTTTATGGTTCAGGTTCTACCTATGTGCCGCCAGACGCCTGAACCCCCAAACATCCCCAAAACCCAAAATCCTGAACCCCCCAAACCCAAAATCCCGAACTCCCAAACCCAAAATCCTGAACGTCCCAAACCCAAAATCCTGAACCCGAAGCCCTCAAAATCCTAAACCCGAAGCCCCAAAAATCCTGAACCCGAAGCCCCCAAAATCCTGAACGTCCCAAACCCAAAATCCTGAACCCGAAGCCCTCAAAATCCTAAACCCGAAGCCCCAAAAATCCTGAACCCGAAGCCCCCAAAATCCTGAACCCCCCAAACTCAAAATCCTGAGACCCCCCAAGCCCAAAGTCCTGAACCCCCCAAACTCAAAATCCTGAGACCCCCCAAACCCAAAATCCTGAACCTCCCAAACTCAAAATCCTGAGACCCCCCAAACCCAAAATCCTGAACCCCCCAAACCCAAAGTCCTGAACCCCCCAAACTCAAAATCCTGAGACCCCCCAAACCCAAAATCCTGAGCCTCCCAAACCCAAAATCCTGAAACCTCCCAAACCCCAAATCCTGAAACCTCCCGAACCCAAAATCCAGAACCCTAAGCCCCCAAAATCCTGTAATCCTAGAGGCCCCAATACCCCTTAATTAAGGAATATACCTTAAACTATAGTAGGATCCCTAATATGATTTACGGTATATTCCTTAATTAAGGGGCATTGGAGTCTCTGTGTAATCCTGGACCCTAAACCCTAAACCCTAAACCCTAAATCCTAAACCCTAAACCCTAAACCCTAAACTGTAATCCTAGAGACCCCAAGCTCGAAACCCATCAGAGCCGAACTCTGAGGCCGCCCCGACCATCGGCCGACGTTTCGCGTCGGCGTCGGAGAAGCTCGGGCCAGCGCCTGAAAAGACATGGGTAGTTGTCAAAATTGTGGTCCCTTTCGGGGTACCCTAAATAATAGGTGCCGTATTATAATAAGGACCCAAAAAGGGACCATAATTTTGACAACCACCCACACCGGGTTTTTGCGGCTTCGGGGTTCGGGGTTTGGGGTTTAGGGTTTAGGGTTTAGGGTTTGCGGCTTCAGGGTTTGGGGTTTAGGGTTTAGGGTTTGCGGCTTCAGGGTTTGGGGCTTCAGGGTTTTGGGGGGTTTAAAAAGGGCCTCGGGCGGTTGGGGTTATGTGATTGGGGGAAGGTCAGGGTCTAGGAGGTTCCAGGATCCTTGTGGTTTCATGGCTCTGAAGGCTTAGGATCGGTTTCAGGATCTGGGGTCAGAGTTTTTTGGGCTTTAGGTTTGAGAGTTCAAGGATTTCGTGGATTTGGGGTCTTTAGGGCCACGGTGCCGGGTTTCGTCTGGCTTAGCTTAGTGAGCTGCGTCTTCGAAGAGGTGGAGTGCATTATGGCAATCTTGGCTAAATGCCGACGGACCCGCGCGCTGTCGTGGCTGCAGAAAATCTCGCCTCGCACTCTCACGGTTATTGTGCGGTTTCATTATGTATACAGCTACGCTGCAGCATGGATTTTGCAACGGGGTTCCCGAACCCTGTTCTAATTAAGGCGCTCATCGTGCTCGCTCTTGGGAGCCT